GGACGCGGGTCCGAGTCCGGGCTAAGTCAGGGTATGTGCCCTGACACATCCCTGCCTTACACACAACTATTATTGGTCATACTTCCTTCTACCTTACCCTACCCCTCCCCATCCAGATCTCTGCACCTCCGGACTTCCAATTGTCCTTCCTTTTGACCTCTGTACCCCAGGTGCCTCCTATCTCCTACCCTACCTCCACTTATCAGATTCTTTAATTACTCCTTATATTATATTTTCCCACCAAATATCCCGGACTACAACTTCCGGGTTCTGGATGTTTCCCTCATAGTGCCCTGCAGACAGACTCAACCTGTGTTATTCAGTTGGTTCACTATTCTCCCACTCCACACCCCACACCCCCTAGGATGGGGTTTGGCAATGGCCAAACCAACACCCCTTGGACCAACAAAACCTTCCAGCTTACATACTATCTATCAAAGTGCAGTTCCCCACTCTAGCCATACTGGTGGATACCACGGCATCATTCTCAGAATAGGTGGCAAAGATGAAACAATTTGAACTCCACACAGCAATTGTCGCTAGTCGCACAACTACCTGTGCAGGATCCGGCAATCCCCGAAAACCGTGGGAATGGACTTATGGTCATTTCTTTACAGTTAGTGATTTCGTGATGAGTAATACTGTATGACCAACAACCTCTTTCCACGGCCTCCAGGAGTTACTGGAGCCATAAATCTAACATATAAATAATCATGGTCGGTTGTGGGTGAGATCTGATTGGTCCGGTTAGCACCGAAGTGAGGTTGCGATCGATTCTGATTGGCTCAGTTTGCATCCCATGACTGTTGTTTCGCCATCTTATTGGCTCTTAGCTTCGTTCTAGGCGGTTCCCATCCCCAAGCTGGCTGTTGGACTCTCATACGCTCCTCAATCTAGGCTGTTCGCAACACATGACTGCTCTGACTAACATGCTCTTCTATCACCTCTCTGCACTCCATCCCGTGTTCGTGGGATCTCATTGCTCCTCACTGTTCAAGTTTGACCGTCGATGTCCAGTGGCATGTACTGTGTCACTGGCGTATCATACTTTTCAATCATTGCGATTCACTGCTCAACTTTGACCATGTCCGGTGGCATGAACTGTGTCGCTGGTGTATTGTAGTCTTTAATCATTGCAAATGTTCTCATGCCTGCACACTTGGATTCCATGTCTGTTCGATTTGGAAAAACCCAGGTCCCGGACTCACGTTTGTTGACGCATGCATCTGTTCCACATTCTGTTTCATGTGGATGATTGTTGCATTGAAAGAGGTCCATACTTCATTCACCCTTAAACTGAGGGTGAATGTCAGGAGACGCGCATCCTATTGAACAAGCCAAACATTCTCATTCCTGTGCACTACCATCCCTGTACGATTGTGTGTTACAGAATCCCACAATCGTGTGTCCTCGGATCTCCCCAATGACTGATTCATGCTCACCATCATTTTCCAATCTGGTCTCGATTTTGGGAAAAACCCAGGTTCTAAACACAACTCATTGGCTGTTTCATTCGCAGATGACGACTTCGGAGCGTCTCTCATTCCCATGTGTCTCCAGACTGATCGGATTTCGCGTTTGTTGAGACATTCGTCTCTCTTTTATGTTGACAATTGTCGGGTTCATGACCGAACGAGGTCCATATTTTGTTGTAAACGCGGCATTCCAAATATGGTAACCCGCTTCAGCAGTTCACTCGCAACCCAGATGTAATATAGAAAGAAATATAACTAAAATACACACGGCGCTCCAGTGCCCATATTTATACTTCTCAACAATATTCCAGGCTCTTCTATGCCCAGCACTTACACAGGCACCTAGTAACCCCTAGAATATTTCCGGATATTCCGGTTCAGTTTCATCATGTGACTCATATTCCAACATCCCCCCTCAAGTCACATACCCCTTCCGACAATTTTCTTGATCCAGAAATCCAGCCCTGTACGGCAAATTTCTAATGTTTCCTTTGTCCTTGATCCAAAAACCTGCCCTGTACAACAAATTCGAAGGGCCCGGAATCAATCACGTTCTCGTCCTCCGATATTTTCCCATCCTATACAGTCCTGACAGCGTTCGGATCCTTCCGTTCCCAATTTAGTAAGAGTAATTCATCATCGAGATGGCTTCGTTTCTATTTTGGGTTTCCTTATTCTCTCGGCAATTACGCCGGTAATGCCCCTTCTTTTGGCAATTCCAACAAACCAGCTCTGCTCTAGCCTGCTTTCCCCCTGCAATAAATGCTCCTGGGGAGGCACCCTCTTCTCCATATGTCCCCATCCTTGCCTCCTCATCCCTGAGAATACCCATCACTGCTTCCGAAGATGGCTCGTTCTTGTGGGAAGTCAAAGAAGCCGAAATGGCATTGAACTTCAGGTTCAAGCACATGATCAATGCATCGGCCAGATCCGAATCATCGACATTCATTCCGATTCTGTGCATCTGGTTCCAGATCGATTCGAGCCCATTAATATAATCGTCAATCGGCTTTTCGGGATCGTGTTTGAAGTTATAAAATGCCTGCGTCAATCAAATTCTATTGGCCCTGGAGTTCTTCTCATAGTGTCCTGCCAATTTGTACCAGGCCTCGACACCATTTTTGCAATGGCTGATCAACTTGTATTGTGATGGGTCTATGGTCAGCCCAATTATGGTAAGAGCTTCGTCAGCCTTGTTTTGGGCATTCTTTGGGATTTTCCAGTCTTCGCTTTTGTTTTTCCCTTTCTGAATTATGTCCCAACAGCCAGCCCTCCGGAGTACAAGGGAGACACCGAATTTCCAATCATAGTAATTATCCTTGGTCAATTTTGGCACTTGTCCCACCAGGGAGTTATAGTTCGGTTGTGTCCTCGGTTTCCACCATATTATGTAAGTGTAGCGATCAGATGAGGCAACGTCGAGTGAATAGAGTAATCCGGTTAGACCCAGGCTGGGCTCATAACCTGTTGTAAACGCGGCGTTCCAAATATGGTAACCCGCTTCAGCAGTTCACTCGCAACCCAGATGTAATATAGAAAGAAATATAACTAAAATACACACAGCGCTCCAGCGCCCATATTTATACTTCTCAACAATATTCCAGGCTCTTCTATGCCCAGCGCTTATGCAGGCGCCTAGTAACCCCTAGAATATTCCCGGATATTCCGGTTCAGTTTCATCATGTGACTCATATTCCAACATATTTCATCCATGCTTGAACCGAGGATGCATTCCCACTCTAACTCGGGTCCTTCCATCCTGAAGCTATTCGATCTAGACATTGCCGTACACAGCATGATGATTCAGCAGTACCTGTGCCTGAACAATTTCGTTCGTGGTCCGACCCCTATGTGTGGTGTGAAGCTTGATTGTTAGAAAGCGAAACTTTGGGATGGAGTTGCCATGGGGCACCAAACGCACTCCACCGCTCCCTCCATTACCTCCGTCCTTAGCTGCTGTCGTCGCCACCTCACCTACTAATGCTGGCAATGCTTCCCGTGCCCCCAACCCCAACCTGGAATAACGATTCACATCCCACCTGGCCGGTCCAAGTCATGATCTGTTGGTAGAATCCACCTCAACGGAACAAATTCAAAATAGTGAAGATAGTGAGTGGAAAGGGAAAGCAGACGCGTGCCACCCTTGCCACAGACTCGGGACAACAGCGCATGATTTACTACAGCGTGAGTTGGCTACAGCGTATGCCTATATTCCAAGAACTCTAATACTCCCCCTGCGATGACACTGACATCCACCCTGAGTCAAACACAGTTTCCCCCGAAGACGATGCTGATATTTCCTGAGCATTTGGATAGCCACGCAGTTTCCGGTGCGCCAGAATGGTGGTCTGCAATTAACATCAACTTCCGCTGAACACCAATCAGATGTCTTCCAGGACCGACCATGATTATTTATATGTTAGATACACGAAACACATGTATAAATTCACGCACACCAGGATGCAAGGAAATCGCAGCGATGTTCAACACCACTCACTGTATAGACAATTCAGAACCATGATCCCAACGCGAGGTTTGTATCATTTGAATGGAATGCCACGTATACATCTAATGTCCTCTGTGGGGAGGAAGAGGGGGGGAAATTTCTTCTATGTTTGTACCGTTCAACGACAGCTGAGATTGTCGGGCCACACTGTAGTTATGTCCTTAACAATCTGATTGTTATGTGAGATCGATATTCGTTCTGTTTTTCCATCGATCACCGATACTTGAGATCGCAGCTATCTATGTTTATGAAATTAACTGGCAGCCGAAGGCAGTTCAGCTACATAGTTCTAGTCAATCCAATTTTGTTGATTTTCAATTCAATCCAAGACCTTCTGACGCGTGACAGGTTGTTGGTCGCGCCAGTAGAGTAGGTGGGATTGAATGTCGTCTATCTTATCAAAACCGCTCCTCACATGACATGAAGCACGTTCCATCGTTGCCGTTGTCCTCTCTCTCCGTCGTCGCCCACATCGGCGAATACTACCACCGATTCGGCATAACAATGGAGAGCAAAGGGTGCCAATGCGGCAAACCCACACAGATGAGGACCCACATTTTAGCGGAATGCCCCCGAGTGTACAGACACAGACACCTACTTGGACGCGGCAACCAGACCAGGTTCCACACCCTCGTAGGAAAAGTGAAAGGCATTGAAAGACTTGCGTCCTTCATCAAAAAGTCCAGAACATGTGACAAACACCAGACCAACGGCCGCCACGGGGAGAGGAACACGACCCCAGGAACCCGGACAGCCGGGTAGACGAGAGACCACGAAAGCACAGAACGAAGCAACGGCGGAGGAGAGGAAGAGACGGGCGAGACGAACACAATAAATTATTTCCTTATTTTCTATTTCTTTTATCAACACCTCGACAATACCCACCGACACCACATAACCCGAGGATCACTGACACCAGACGATACCAACCAGACTACCCACACATCATGTATAGAAAGTCCCCTTCATGTATGCTACGGTGTATCGACCGGACAGCCGCACTGCCACGACATCACGGGGCCGCGGGGTATTAAGATAGATCTATCATCATCATCATCTCCGTCGTCGCCGTCCGCTCGGAAGGGTGGAAAGGAAAGAAAAAAATCAGAAAAGAGAGAAGAGGAAAAAGAGAGGGAGGAGGAAAGGAAAGGACGGACTCCCCGAACGAAAACGGGTGCAAAACGGGTGAGTGAGCGAAAATGCACACACACGCTCGGCTAACGAGACAATGGAAGCGCGCGCCGTCGCGTCGCGATCCCAATCCCACCCAACCCCAGCCACCGTCGCCGTCGCCGTCACCATCGCGTGCTGGGATCACAAGGAGGAATGAGGCGAGCAGGCCGAACGGCCCATGACCGTTCCAATGCCCATGCCAAGAGGCGAGAAAGAACGTGGCTGGATGAGTCGACAGACCGTGGTTTCCCTCCCCTCCCCAAATCCATCGCCCCTAATGCCTCGTCCATCCCGTCGCGCCATTGCTCGGCGCTTAAAGAGGAAAGGAAAAGGGTGATGAGTGGAAGAACACATGGGATGACTGACCCGCTTCGTCCTACCCTAATCGTCCCGTCGCTCTCGACGCGTCCACGTCTCTCCTGGCGCGTATCCACAGATATTCGTCCCGCGCTAGGGCTGGCTGGCTGGAAGGAAGGAAAGAGGTGAGCGAAAAAAAGGTGGCCGGAGACTGACGCACTTTCCTCCCAGATCTATCGCCTCGTCCATCCTGTCGTGCCGTCGCTCGGCGTCTATATATATATATATAGGTTGGGTGGGGAGAGGGGTGGAGACCGTGTCTGTTCGCTAACAAACCAATCGACCAACCAACCGCCCGTCCTCGTCCACGCCGCCCTACTTGCTAGTGCCGACTCAGTCATGAGGAATGCTGACAACGAAGTTTTGATGAGGAATGGCCAATTTACGGTGTGTTCCAAATGTGACGTTTGGTTCTCGTTCTTTACACGTCTGGTGGAAGAATTTGCAGAACACTCGAAGATTTTGCGCTTCATGCCCAGTCTGCGTCAGAACAAAATCACGTACAATCGCTCCATTTGGCCTCCTGAAAACATTGCCAATCCCTTCTCAACCATGGGAATCCATCGGGATCGACTTGAGCGGAATGATACACCTCGTACCCACGGTTCAAGCCTATATGGCACCCGACATGGCAGGGGTCTTCTTTGATCCAGTGCATAAGTTGCACGACCCAAAACGGATAGTAAGTAATCGCGACAGCCTATTTACCTCAGCGTTCTGGACAGAACTGCATAAACTAATAGGCGTATGACTTCGACTGTCTAACGCTTACCATCCCGAAACGGATGGCGCCACCACCGGACGATAGGCCAAATGCTGAGACAGGCAGTGTCTCAAAGCCAGAAAGACTGGGCTTCTAAATTCGAACTAGCGATCAACATGTCGACTTCCGATAGCACAGGCTATTCACCATTTGAATTGAATGGGATACGACAACCAAACCCTTTGCTCATATCACACGAATCACCGTATCCTAGTATCCGGACGGCAGCAAGAAAAATAGCATCAATCATGCTTGACGCACACGACGCTAAATCAGACATGGATTACCAACAAGCACCGAAAAGAAGTGACATTTAAAGTGGGCGACCTCGTGTATTTGTCCTTAACTTAGGTAAAGGGATATCACGGAAATTAGTTCATCGGCCCACTGAAGATTATTCGAGAAGCGTCGCCGGGCGCGAGCTTCGAATTAGAACTATCAGACGAGTTGAAACGGGGAATACACCCAGTATTTCATTCAAAATTGTTGTGACCTCATATCCCTAACGATGATATCTTATTCCCCAGCAGAAAAATTGATAACCACGTGGGGCTGGGAGCGTCTGATGATTCATTTGTCAGGCGAGTCATACGACATGACGGACAAGGAAACAATGCGAAGTTTTTCGTGCAATGGTCTAACGGCTCGACCAGCTGGGAACCATACATGACGCTACGCGGAAGAGCAGCGCTGGATGATTACTCGAACATATTAGGAGTGAGCATTTCAAATTTGAAACAGGATGATTTACCGATATCAGACATCACTGAAAGTATAAAAGGACTATCACTTGCGACGATATCCTCGGCATGCCACTGAGTTTTCTTACTCAGGACTTCTCACCGATATACACCCCATATTCGCACTTGGTTGTTCCACCCGGTACACACGACCACCAGGCTCTCCTTCGGGCGGCCGCTGGGGTCCGAGGTAGACCTCGCCGTGGTCCAACACGCCCTTACGGCCCTTACGAGCGTCGCGGACGAGCGTTATATGAACTATGGACCAAGGTTCAATATGGAGTTACCCAACCCGGCGGTCCCACCCTTTCGGATCCACGATGCATGATGAGTTGGATAACCATTTATCAAACCAACCTTTTGCCGCTGCACCTTCTTCACCATCTATGTCTAGCGCGTAGCTTAGGCGAGTTGTCGATGGTCAATTTGCAGAACGAAACCGCCGAGGTGGGATCCGAAGGATCGTCAAACCCGCAAGTTAATCATTGAAGCCTTCGAAATCGAAATTCTCTATGCAATCTTAGGTCTATATATCCGATCACTTGACTAACACCAGTTCTTGGATGCGAGTAGCAGTGCGGGTGTAAGTGGAGTGGTCTGATACCCGTCCAAGTTTTGTTAGTTAGACAGAACCTCTTGTATTTGCTCTCATAAATCAAGCCCTTTTGGACCTGTGACACTCTCAGTGACCTAGTGAGTTCGATAATCCTTTAGGACTTAGCCATCGGCGACAGCCGACCTTGAGGTCCCTCACACACTGCCACATATCCCACACCTTCGCTCTGCTCTACTGCGACACATCTCCTTGCTTATAACTTCCGCGATACTGAACCGATCAACTTCAGTCCTGGTAGGTATCTTGTGCATGCTAATGGCTTTATATCAGCCCCCTCTATGATACCTCCTTGATCAACCTTTTCACACGGCGCTAATTTGCTGCATGTGCCACTTATCACACTCAGATCTGAGTGGATTCATGATTGGCAAGTCTCCGGACATACTGCACATGTTCTGATGCAGTGCTGGTAGCGGGAGGCAGTGAACCTACAACATTTTTGCCTTTCTTATCTCTGATCAAATTGTTAATTCATTGTTGCTCCAGATTACCTTCCGCGTTTAGGCATGGCCTCACAGATAAACCAATCACTCCAGCAGCAGGACTTTTCTGCCTTTGCACTGCTGGATAAGGGTGCTGAAAAAATGAAAGCATTCCGCAGCTTACTGGAGACATCTCATCTAGGAATATTTAAAGTATGGTATTTTGAATTTGGGATTATTAGGTATTAATTGCATTTTTCTGACTAGGTCCATCTCTCTCAAATGGTCCCCCTCCCTGGAAATCGGATGATCCAGCAGAACTTTGTCAATGACCACGTGCAAGCATGGGGTGATGCAATTGACAGGGTGAACCATCCCATGTCTGGGCTGCTGCTCTATGCTGAGAGAGTAGCACCTGATGCAGAGGGCTTCCTCCCAACTCAGTTCAAGGTCCAAGTCTGCCATGGACAACATCGCAAGCTAGTTATGGAGGAAATGATTCGCCAAACGCTTGTTTCTCAATACAAGGGGCAACACAATGCAAAGCTTTCTGCATCACACAAGTTCCCCATTGATGAACTGTATGCACATCGAGATGCATACTGGTGGATGAATGTATACTCACAATGTATGCCCTTTAACAAATCCCCTCTCTATTACTAATCTTGTTCTGCAAGCCCTTCAAACTGAATCCAATGGCATGTTTCTAACCTGGGTCTTGGCTGATAATGTGCAGCACAACAAAGCCCCCAACTTGTGGGGAGATCTTATTTCTGCCTTCCTTTCCTTTGTCTCAGAATCAAATCCCAAGCCAGCCCCCTTGGATTACCAGGTGTGGTGGCAGACCATTTCTGGGAACAACAAAGCAATCAGTGACTTGAAGGGGATCTTTCGTTCCTCTGAAATGGTGAAGGCTTTGTATGTATTGAGACACATACCTGCATTTGTGCAGGATGAGAGAAAGACTCTGGAGGAATGTGCAAAAGGAATGCAGAATGTGAGTGGATATACTTTCCTGTGCATTATTGTCTCATTTAACCCCTTAGTTTTTTGCATCTGCTATTGAGATATCCATGTGGCAGCTGGCAATTATTTGTCAGAAAAATGTGGACCAACCTCTCCCTCCTCATGAGGTTGCTGACTGGCAATTCATCAATAAAGAGAACCTTCCAACCACACGTGGTTGTGCTGGGGTCTCATTCAAGGCCATTAAAGATGCATTACAGAATTCTCTATCAAATAAGAATACTGCTGGGCTGAAGGTGACAAGTTGGGAGTGGAAAGAGTTTAAGAGGGCTCAGAATGCCCCTAAAAATTTTCCAGGAAATCTGTTGCAGCCAAAGGGTGCTGGCCCATGGATCTTTCAGCCTGACATGGTGAGCAGTCATGAAATCCCAACTCAGTTTTACTTATTTTGGTTTTTTAGTTTTATCATCCTGATCACATCATGACAAGAGGGAGTCCACTCCATTTGAAATTAGAGGAAATCCGTTTCTGCTTTGAATGTGTATGTGTCATGGTTGCATTCTGCTGGGGTTGGCTCACATGTCAGCACTAGTTTGTTGGCTTTATTTGGGGAAAAAATGCAATGAGGTCAATCAGTCCTAGGGGAGGGGTGTATAATGAAGTGTTCTATAGGGCATACTTCACCCCTGGGCCTGAGGCATTTTATGACACACTCATACCTCATCTTGTTGGGAATGAAACTTGGGACTCCAATGACCCAACTTTACCTGCACAAAGGAAGATCAGTGGGCATTGGGTAAGTGGACTGCAGGAGGTTTAGGCAGATCTAACCTATTGTCTCATTAAGATTGTAAAGCATTTCATAGCAGACCATGAGAATTACCAGAAAATTACTCAACACGATGGGGATACCATAGGGGGTCGGGATCGCTTGGACCGTCAAAGTTTGGAACGCATGGCAAAGCTCAGTGAACCCTGGTACCACATCCTTGCATCATTCTGTCCTTTTAATGCAGAGGGTGCTTACCTATTTCCCCAAAGTAATTGTCTATTCCCTGCTGAATCACCCTCAGGGTTGATGCGGGATGAGGTAATAAAACGCCTTCCTCCTCCCCTAAAGGGGAGTCTTCCTCCTGCCCCTCCATCTCCTCCATCTCCCCCTGGATGGGGTCCTAATGAGCCTTACCCATCACCACCTACAATCCCTCCAAAGCCAGGCCCCTCTGGCTCAGGGTTATCAAGTGTCAGCCATTCTGGCACTTCAAGGCCATCAATTGTTGAACCCCCTGGAGCCCAGCCTCTCACTGCTGGCTCACCAGAAGTTGATCCATCTGCAGGTCCCAGTAGGAGCTCAAAGCCACCTCGCATTGGTGGTACATCACATTCAAAAGTTAATGCACCATCTTATCCTCATGGGTCCTCTTCACCAGCCCTTCATGAAAAGGCAGTCCATAAAAAAGTTGCAATGAGAAACAAGGCACCTGAGCTGGATATTGGTGGTGGACAAATGAGGGGAGGAATGCCTGGCACATCTGCAAGACAGAATTGTAAGTACAGTGAAGTATGTGCTATTACTACTACACTAATCTTGGGTGGACTTTAGTGCCTGCAAGCAAAGAATCTACTTCCCAATACATCAAGATGGAGGAAATTCAAAAGGCAGTTGTGGAGCTCTTCATGGGTGAAAATGTGGAGAGGAAGTTTGGAATGAACCTGAAGCAGAGGGATAACCTGGTGAGCAATCTGAAGCATATCTTCTCAAACAGGGAGATGGCAGAAAGCATGTTGGCAAGGCCAGATGCATGTGTATCTCTGGCAGGAGAGTTGTACCAAGTAGGACTTCATTCAACCACTAGGCCAACTCCAAGGAGGCATTGGATAGTGGAGTCAGATTCAGATCAGAGTGGAGAGGGTCAGGATATGGCACCCTGACCATTCCTTAGGCATACAGGCACTCTAAGGGTGTGAGGCTTCTCCAACATCAATGGACTTGTGTATGGTGTGAGTTGAGCCCCCAACATGTATATACAAACAGCACAGATGGTAGTCATGTGAGTAGAATGACAGTTTATGTTAGAAATGCTGATTCTGTCAGGGATCAACAATGACCCTGGACCCTATGCTGGCTGTGTGTATGCATGTGGGAAGTATGCTGGCAATTCCCATCTACTCCGCTTACCTAAGCCCCAGTGGCCTGGATCATCTCCGGCATTGTTCTGGAACATTCTATGATCACATGATTCTATCGGCAATCCATTTGGTTTCCTTATTGCTGGACTCTACATGTATATAGCTGACCTAAGATGGGGACATCCCTTTCCCCCAGCTTTAATCACAACTAGGTTATCGGAGCAACCTGTGTGAGCATGTGTGTCCCCTGACAGATCCCAGATGAAGGAGAGACTGCCAGGCATTCGATTAGCAATGCTAAGCACACCATCCTGGGATAGTGCACCTTGTGCTGCTTCCACCTTAGTTTCCCCATCACCTTTGGCCATCACACCACTGGTTGACCACCCACCCCTGCCTGATGCTTTGGCATCACTTTGTTGGATGGGTGTCATATCTGTACATACCCAATCCCAATTTGAATTCCAGACCCTCCACTTCACCACCTCTGGAGACCTACCCTATCCCTGTCCACTCCGATATCCACCTTTGGACTTGACATCACCTCCCTCCTCATTCCTGTCCTCACTCCTCTCCTTCCATCCCTCTTCCACCAACCTCCACCAAGTTACAACCTTCCACTGCCATCCTGTACCCTGTACTTGGACACTGCTTGTGCTTTCGCTCCAAGATTCTGCCATGGTCCTGACCTCAGACTTTGACTCCACCTCGGTCCATTGCATTGGTGACCTCATTCTATGTAAACACCATTGCCAATTATTCTTTGGACTTCCAACTCCTTCTCTGTAAGCTCCATCACCTCTGAGCTTCACAGACTGATCTCAGCACTTTCACCACCTGTAGTATACATTTCGCACTTCTCCCTCATCCCCAATTGGACTACTGCTTCCTTACATTCAGCCAATTAGTCCTTCACCTCATCCTCCTGCCCCTCTGGGCTTTGCCCTCCTTACCTCCTTTTAGATGTACCATAGAGTCTAACCCTTGACCCTCGGTACCACTCTGCTTCCGTAGTTCCCTTTGTCTCTGTTCAGATGCCTTTGTTCCATTTCAGACCACCCTTGTTTCCTTGTGCTTTCATCTCTCCATTATATGTAGGCACTTGTACATACTCGATTAGACCCTCAGTCTAAAATCGACTAGAAATGCCCCCTAGAGACTTCCTCCTCGCTATGTCTGAAATTAAGGACCAACAGGACAAACAGCAATGGCACAGCACTCCCCTTGAGTCGCTGTGGCCAAGGTCCCTCCTTGCTAAGTCTCCGGTTCCACTCTGGAATCGTCCACTCTTGCCCAGTTCTAACAATGGGCCACAATCCCACTTGTCCTATGACAAGGTTGTTCTCCCTGAGGCTCCATTGAGCAATGGTACTTCATACCACATTTAGACACCAGCACACCCAGTCCAATCCCAGTCATTCTACTCTGACTCTACTCCACTTTGCCAGACTTCACCACTCTACCCAGGCTGATACCTATATCAGCCTTACACTGCAACTTGCCTAAGTGGGGATTGAGTTGAGAAGAAGGGTAAGTTTCCCTATTCCCAGCTTGGCTGCTATAAAAGGGAAA